CTGTCCAGGGTGTACCCCGCCTCTCGCCCTATGACAGCTGGGATAGGCTCCAGAGCCCCCCGCGATCCTGAAAAGGAGAAGCGGAAGCGAATGGATGGATGGATTTTTATTACTATTACTGAATGCTACTCGCCACCGAGCTAACATTGTTAGCTTGTTCATAGACTGCAGACTGTTAGGCCGTTTCTAAATATTCAAGTATGCGAGTTCGTACTCGCGTTGTCAGGACTTCGTAAGTTAACACGGACCTAACTTCCCGGACTTTTTAAAAAATATATCTTTTTATATCATGAGTACTACTAGAAGATTGCTCCACTCTTTGCTTGATCTCTACTTTCCTTTAATTGCTGTTTCTACCTTTTAAAAATGTGACTTGACCTAGAGAGCTCTGCACAACAATTCCAGTGTGGATGGACTGTTGTGCATTTCCTGTCCTGTGCGCAAATGGCTCTCAACCTATCCAACCGCACACCAACTGTGACAATTTCTAACAGACGAGTTCGCCTTTATATCAAAGACATATTGATTTTATTTCAGCTGCATCTCTTTAGATAAATTCCTGCTCTGCTTCTAGAAAGAAACACATGTAAAACCTTAGCTTGTGCTATATTTTTTCATACTTGGTTCCTTACTAAGTCTACTTATTTCTGACTTGGTAATTTGTGCTACTCTTATTGTATTGATCAACAAAACTGGACGGTTAATACAGGAAATTCATTAAACTGTAAAAAAACAAACAAACAAACAAAACTTTTACATCCTTCCAACCAAGAGAACGATACTAACTTACTAATACTAATCCTCAAGTTTAGCAGGTTAACAACAGTCAGCATGATGCAATTTTATTGAACATACAAAAGTGAACATCAACACACGAACACACGAACAAATATAATCATCAAAGTGCTGTTTCCAAAAACAACAGAAACACGATGCAAAACCAAAGCAGATAAAAACAGACTGATGGCAATGATTAGTGTCGTTTGATTAAAATGGAAATGTGGTACATCTTTAAACACATAATCTCTGCTGATTGGATTCACATAACAACACAACAAATGAGGAGCAAAAGGAAGCGAGCATTTAAAACCAATCAAAACAAATTGAATCAAATATACAAAGAACGAAACGTGTTCACATGTTCGCAGTGGCCAAGCTTGAAATCAGTGCAAACAGCAGAAAGTGACAAAATTCAAAACTAACATCCTGTGACTCAACAGCACGTTCACAGTTGACAATAACACAGACACATTTTTCTTGAAATTATAAAGCAAAAAAACTCCTTTTTAAAAATATTCCCTTCATACCTTAATATTTCCTCTGTAAATACAGACAAAGAGTGTGAAAATGACCTGGGTTTACTTACATACTTTTACAGCTGTAACAATTATGTTCGTGTCTCTGTCTGAGTGAACTTTGGAATTAAGACAAATGGTTACAAAGTGTCGTTAAGCTTCTTATTAAGATCATTTCTTTTTAACTCATTTTGCGACTTCACTAAACTCTGTGAAGCAGGAGGAATGTAACTGTAGTCTTTCATTTAACATCTGAATAAAGTACACAAAGTAAATCCTCGAAAAGCCTTTCAGTCATCGGGACAGGATGTGTCCTGGCAAACTCCGAAATTCCAGGTTGACAGAAATGATAGTGAAATGAGAATCCAGATATCCTTCCTTTGAATTCTCAAATATATTTAACAAGACTTTGCCCGTCTTTAGAAAACAAATGATCTGAAGAACCTTCGCACTTCTTTAAAAACATTAGAAGCAGTTAAAGGCTTTAGCAGCAACAATCTGCAAAGATGAGAGACACGCTGAGCCTTCGTTAAGGTTATTATTGCTTTTTATCAGCTGGAGACGAAATGTTCTGGCTTATAAAAAAGAAGAAATCAAATGCGTCTCCTTGTACGCCTCTGAACTGCCCTCAGAGCAGCTGGTACTTTCTGAAAGACCCAGTCCCCACTTACACTTATTCATCTGCAGAGTGCACAGGATTCTCTTCAGTTTCTAAAAACCTTGAAAGACACTTCACTTTCATTTTCATTTTTGTGAGTGGATGAAGTTGCAGGAAGGCAAATCTTTCAGTTAGCGCAGTTGATAAGAGGAGATTGTGTTGGTGTGGCCAAAGTGTTTCCTCTGTTTTGACTGACACGGCACTGCAGACCCGCTCTCATCCCAGTGATGAGCATTCAAAGGTCAGTCTGAAACAGAAGCTGCTGCACAGCGTGAGCGGTCACACAGGGACTTCTTCTTAGAGACTCTACGTTTAGAAATGTTTCATCATATTACATATAAAGAGGAGGAAAACAGCATTCCTGACTTTATCCAAATGTTTTACCTTTTTAAAGCTTAATTTGAGGAAAGAAAACTTTCTTTTGTATATTTCCAAAACTGCTCTGAGGAGCCAGACTTGAGGAACTTTCCCTCAGTCGAGTGGATTTCACGAGCTTTTTGAAGAGGGTGCTAACTCGTTTTTGATCTATAAACATTTTCAGCAGATCAGCGAAGTTTAACTTCCTGTGTGTTTTAAAGTAATGTTACATAACTGCACCCAGATAAAGGGGACTTTGATTGATTTGGCACAAACATGTTTTCTTTGAAACCCATAACAACCCAAGTTCACTGCAGCTCCCCTTGGTCTGCTTCGTTACACTTACACACACGCGTAGTTTAATGTACAGTTACTTTATGTAGACCCAGAGTCTGTTAAGTCTTTCTCACCTCGCTCTAATGCAAACAAGTTAAGCTTCCTTGAATATAAAGCTGTTCGTTTTAAAACGGTCCATAGCGACATCCTGTGGATCAGCCAGAATTCCCTGAACTGAAATGTAACTGAAAAAAAACACACAAACTTAAACTAGGAATGAAGTGAGAAATTATTTAAAACACAAATATGGCTCGTTGCTGGACTTTAAAATAATAGATTTAAGATTGAGTAATCAAACGTTTCATCTCTGTTGAGGATTCAAACCGACAGCGGCTGCTGTGGGATTTGAGCTGGATGAGAGACAAAGCAGAGAAACTGCAAAGTGACTTCCAGCTGCCGTCTGTGCTCAGTTCATCCAGGCGTAGGCATACAGGCCGTTCTTCCTCCACAGATCACACCGAGGAGAGGTGTAGTTCCTGTCCACCTTGAGGACGTCGGACAAGAAAGCAATGGCTGATGGGTACTCGGACCACTTTGTCTCCACCTTACCTGCAAGAAGTAAAGAGAAACAGTGTAACTTTAAGGCACAAAAGTATCAAGGCGGGAGGTGGACGAGGTCAAATCCCCTCGTTTTCCACCACACAGTATGTTTTCCTTTTTAAATCTGCATCTGGCCAGTTCCTTATCCTTTTGGGCTGCCTCTGAAAGTGATATCCAAAAAGGAAATTAGTGGAGTCAACGTGTGTCCTGCTCCCTTTATAGCCATCTGTCACCACTGTTGTATCAGCCACTCCTGTGAGGGTGTGCTTGGGTCTGAGTAGTGGACGTTATATCCATCAGAATTTCAGATGAACCCACATCTCTGTCCGACCACTTACTGTCCACCAGTGTGCTAAAGGGTGAGCGATATAACCTCAAAATCATGTCAATATCTGGAGAAAACGTGTGATAACAACTGATGATATAGAAAAAGAAATTACTTGAAGCTCTCCTTTACCATCATGTAACTGGATCCGTCATTTCAACCCAGCATTTGCTCTTCGTGTCATATGGAGTGCGACTAGAAGTGAATTAGTTTGAGTCATTTTTTAACTTTTCAGTCACCACCTGCTTGCGTCTCCCACCTTTGGTGAGAACAGTTTTCATGCATATTTTTCAAAGCGTTGTGCTTTGCTGGAGGTTGTTGGAGTAGCTTCGGTGTCACGCGGCGGCTGTGTGAAGGCAAGAGAGGACCCAAATGCACGGCTCTAGACACACGGGGATGAACTCAAAGGCAGGTCTTTATTAACAGGAACATAAGAAGTCATACAAAACTATACTGGGAGAAACTAAAGCTGAGGCGCTGGGAAGACATGGGAAATGCACACAACCTAGAGGGACGACGCAACACGGAACAAACGGATACTCTGACATAAATACACAGAAGGTAATGAGGGAAGTGGGAACACAGCTGAGGACACTTACTCATGACGGAGCGGGGAGGACACGAAACTGAAAATACTGACACCAAGATGTGGACCTTAAACACAACACAGTACACAGAGATGAGCACAGAGAGAGAGGCAGAGAGAGAGAGGCAGAGAACAAGGATGAATACGAGGGGATGAGGAGAACACAGAACACAAAGGACGGGAACACGGTACCAGAACAAACACCACAATAACAGCATGGACACAGGGGGGATCCAAATACCAAACCAAACAATCCAATGAGCATAAGGAACAAAATACAAAACCACAGGAAAACTAAGAACACTGGGTCAAAATGACATTCGGTTTTACTAAATCAATCATTGGACACGTGGTATGACACGCCTGGGTTTTTCTTGTTGTAGTCCACACTGAAAAATATAAACACATGGCGTGCTCGTAGCAATGATGTGACAAGATGACACTTTCATGTAAACTTGTGCACAATATGATACGGCACAGTCTGCAGCACACGCACATGTGTACACCACAAACAGGCTTTAACCCTTCAAAGCAAGCAAGTGGATTAGCTACACACAATCTCGCCACCTTACATTTGTTACAAAACTATTGACGGAGTCCAAAATCTTTGGGAGCCAGCCTCAAATTGCCATCGGTGTAATGCTGTTTCATTTTCAGCACTGGAGGCTGCTGCTTAATAAAGACACGCTGTGATGACATGAATTTCAATGTACAGGCAAAGAAAAACAAAAACACGTCACACTAATACACTGAGTCATCAAATGAGAAATCCAAGGTAGTTCCTTATGAGACCTTCATAAGGCCAAAAGTCTTTTACATCACATTTTTCGATGGATGAGGATTGTTTCTGCTGAATTTGCTCAAAGTACCTCCTGAGCTATAAGTCACCTCACAGGTGCTCTGAACAAATGAACATCAGCGAGCTCCGAGCACTGCTTAACAAAGGGCACAGAGGTCAGCTGATAGAGATGTGCAGAAGAAGAAACACCATTTAGTGTTAGGAACCTGCTTTTATCTCGGATGCTAAGAGCAACCATGTTCTCTTATTGTTCTCTTCTGCTCCTGAGAGGAATTTTAGGGGTCATTATCTGGTCCTGAGTGGCAGCAGTGAGGTGGGCGAGCAGCACAAACACTGATGTGTAATACAAATACAAAAAGACGGGTTCTTGTCATCATCACATCTGATAAAGTAGGGTTTGCTCACTTTGATTTTTTTTAAAACACAAAGTGTAGCACCTCAGTTAACTGTTTCCATTCCTTAAGCCTACTTTCTTCTGATTGGCTGCACCTCGCAAACAGAAGGTTTAGGCAGGTGGCATTTTGTTCATTCTCAAGCACAGAGATATCTGAACTTGAAGTTTCGGCTCACAGCAATTACTTGCAAAGACTTATTTGAAGCCCTGAATCCACTATTTTAACTCCACACACACAATAACTTCTCTTATCTATGATTTACGAACAGCCCTCACCTGTTTTGGCAAAGCTGACGAGATTGCGTGTGATGAGATCCTGAAAGCTCCGGTCCTTATCGGAGAGAGGTTTCCCTAAAATGAACTCCAGCCCTCCAAAGAATGCCACGGCATCCAGGCAGTGGAAGGAGAAGCGGCTGGGGAACGGCAGCAGGTCGCTGGACGCGTTGACAGGTCCGGATGGCGTGTGCCTCACCACGTAGCGATACACCGGACTTTTGAGAGCAGCTGAGAAATGGTTACAAAAGAGCTTATTAGACTGTCAAAAATGGCAAAAAACCAAATGTATCCTGCTGGAAATGTTCCACTTCCACAAAACAAATCCTGCAGTTGCAGCATCAATGCCTTTTTATTAATTGTTGTTATTAAAATTACTCTTGTCACCTGAAGAAAAAGAATCTTCAACCAAATGTCAAATGTGAAAAACACTTTTGACATTTGTTTCAAACATTTACGACAAAAGAAACTTTGAACTACGCAAACATTGCTGACATTACACAGGTGGAAGCGACTTCACATCCTTTTTATGATTTCTTTGCTTCTAAAGTGTCAGAAAACTGAAAATGTCTGCAATAGTTTCTTGAAGCCGAAGGCGAAGTCACCACATTCTTTTTACCATCATTCCTCAATATAATGAGAAATAAATGTACCAACACACTAAAGCAAAGACGAGTGGAATGTTTGAGTCGTGGACTTTAAAAGTAACTTAAATGGAAAAATAGTTTTAGATTATCCATCTGTCCTCTGGCTTATTAATTAATTGGGCCTTTGTTGAAGCGACTCTAGTTTGGATTTATATTTTAATGCTCGACATTCACGAATACGATCAAACGTTTAGTCTCGGAGGGAGTTTTCACTGGAGTGTTCCAATTACACATTTTTTGGGAGATTATTTTAGCAGCAAGTCGACGTGTCTGCAAAACCTCTGATGCAAGTCAGCGAGGATGGAAGACCAGCTGGATAGAAGTTCCCTCCAGAGATCTGAACTATATGCAAAAAAAGTTGATCTTTGACATCCAATGACATCTCATACTTTTTGTTCTTTCTCGACACTCATGACAGGATGAAATAAAAAGCTTAGCTACACTGTTGCTGATGCCTCACTTTTGAAATCTTGGGGCAGCGGTCCAAAGCTTCCTGAAAAGTAGCAAAGATTTAAAACAGCTGGAACTGTGAAATATTCATGTTTTTAAAGCTAAAACTTCAAATTGCCTGCATGTGACACATTCAGGGGCTACAGTTAAGTTCTTGTACTCCAGTTTCCTCCCTTAATCCAAAGACGTGCATGTTAGCTTAACTAGTGATTCCAACAAGGCTGTGAGAGTGAACAGCCATCTGTGAAGGACAGCTTCTCACCCTGTGACATCCTAGACAGAAGTGTCATTCATCACTTCAGAGATCATGTCTCCACTGCTCTACAGTCCAGTGGCGTCCAGTGGCGTTCAGTGGCGTTGCATCCCGTAACGTAAGACTTAGACGCAGTTGCTCAGCATAGGAAACCCATTCCATGAACTGTTCTTCAGCTAATCTGACGAGCACATGAAGTTTGGAGGTCTGAAAAAAGTAATCAGTAACTAATTACTGATTACTTCGCCCAAAAGGTAATCCTGTTACTTTACTGATTACTTATTTTCAAAAGTAATTAATTACTTAGTTACTTAGTTACTTTTTAAAAAACACGATTTACAACCTGAATAGGTGATAAAGTGATAGATCTTTCAGCTCAATTCTACTTTTTCTGCATAATCATCATACAAAATGTAATCAAATGGAAAAGTCTCTTTTTAAAACTTGTTTTATTAGTTTTAATCTTTTAACTTTATGCATCAAGCAAAAATTTAATTAAATGCAACATTCTCTGACTGGAAGAAATTTGTTTAACATTTAAACCTATTTTCTGCACATTCCAGCACATAACATAAAATATTTTTTGTGTTTACACTCAGTCTTTCAAATAGATGCAAGTAAAACACAGCAGAAAATAAATAAAGTCAAAGACTAGCGGTCCTGTTGCTCTATTTTCACCTGTAAAGCAGGAGTGGGGTAGGCGGAGGTTTACCCTGGTGCAGGTGTGCAGCGGTCAGTGGAAGAATCCGCGAGTTTCTCTGTGAGTTTCCCATTACGTCGTAGCTACTCGGTGTTTGCTTGGAAGTTTAGGGGTTTTTTTGCTGTAAAAAGAAGTCTTCTTCCCACGCACAACGGACACTAATGTTTTTGTCACTTTTTATGGAATCAAACTCAAAGTAAGGTCAGTACTTCCACGCTTTAAACGCTGCACGCTCATACTCTCTCTGCACTCGATATATGATCCATTGTTGATCTGCACACAGCTGTTGTCACGAACGTCGCACTCGCTTACGTCACTGTCATGAGACATTCTCGCAAAAAATCATGGTTTTAGTAACGCAGTAACGCAGCGTTCCTACGGGAAAGTAACGGTAATCTAATTACCGTTTTTGCAATAGTAATCCCTTACTTTACTCGTTACTTTAAAAAGTAATCAGATTACAGTCACGCGTTACTGCCCATCTCTGGTAATAATCCCACTAAAGGTTGACTGGAAATTTCCTGACTGGGCTTGTTGCACAGGTGGTGTATTATCGTGGTACCATGCACGAGTGTATGCACCTGTGGCCGTGGAGGTGATTAGAACACCTGAACCTTCAGGGATTTGGTTGGGTGACTGAATACTTTTGGCAAATTAGGGCGTGTGAAAACTGTTGGAAAATAAGTATATAGCAACAAAAAATGTTAATATGCAATGAAAGTGTAATGTGAGTACATACAGTCGGTATATTTCTGTTCTAAGAAACATAAAACCTACCTAACTGTGTTTTTTTGGTGTTACATACATTTTTAGAGTCAAATGTTATTTGAAAAGCTTTTTTCTATTATTTAAGCCACAAGCAATATTTCATTTCCTGCTGAAACCAACATGTAGGATCCTTTTGAATCTCCCATTTATCAGTCATTTCGAGCCCAGATTGACTGTGACTCAGCGAGAGATGAAAAAAAAGACAAAAAAACAAACAAAAAAAACAAGCTGCACAAGATAAAAAAACCCAATGAAGCAAGTGGAAGAAAAATCACCCAGGATGATCTGCAGTCGCCTACACACAACAGCTAAATGTCACTTTACTCAGAGTTTCACCGCTGACACCAAACCTACACGAAGCACAATGGTGAGAGTCAGAGTAGGGTTGCTCTGGGTGATGGATCAATATTATCAATATGAGGTATATGTTACACTTTGATAAAGTTTAATATAGCCACATCTTTGCTTCTAAATGAATGTGTGTGGGGATCCATCATCATCATCTCCAAACTAGAATAAATGAAAAGACAGTGTGCTGCAAGAGGGCAGCGACCAGGGCCAAGACAACAGCTGAGCACTGCAGCCAAGGAAAGGTAGACAGCTTTTACTTCCTCTGCCTCTTACAATAAGGGTATAAACCAGTATGCTGACCAAGCGTGCTGACTGAATCTTAACTGATGTGGTGATTGGTTAGAGCAGTGGTTCCCAAACTTTTTTTGCTGGGCCCCCCTTTGTTTTACAAGAAAAATGTTCGCCCCCCGCGCGCACGCACAAACACATCCTCCAACCACACACGCCCATATTTTGCTCCATTGCGGTTTATTTCACACCTCAAACATTTAGTAAACAATTAAGTAAATACAAGTAATCTGCAATAAATTACAGGTAGTAATAAAATAAACTACTAACTCTTTTACGCTGCGTCCACACCTACACAGGTATTTTTGAAAACGCAGCTGTGTCGTTCACACGTAAACGGCGTCTCAAATCACCGAAAACTGAGATTTTTTAAAACTCCTTTTTTGCGTTTACGTGTGGACGAGGAATACAGAGTTCGTCACGCAACGTCAAAGGTATGTGCCTTTTTTCAAGTCACGCTGTGGCCACGTTATTGTTTACATGAGATGAATTGCAGAATGGCAGATAGAGACGAAATACTGTTAATCTGACTGTCTGCAGGTTTTACACACAGTTACTGTCCCTCCATTTACAAAGGCAGAGGCGTCACGATGTAATTATTTTACATGTAGTTGTTTTTTTCCCTGTAATAATATTCAACATTGATATCAATACATTTTTCAAAAAATGCCTCTCTGTGCAAAATGGGTTTAAAAACATAAACAGCTGTGGGATCCTGTTTGTCCGTGATTTAAACAGCCCAGCGCTGCTCCCAACGAAGGGAAAACCAATCCTGCAGGGAGACCTACCTCAGCACTTGTGCAGGTGAAGCCAAAGGGAAGATTTGCTTCACCATATTTTCTAGTCTTTGGCTTAGAATGAAGTTGGTTTGGAAACATGTTCAGCGATGCTTCATCTCCTGCTTTACGTTTCTGTAGGCGCCCCGTGCTAGCAGTGTCCAAGCGTTTTGTTCCCCCCCCCCCTTTTCATCCCGCGCCCCCCCTGCCATGGCTCTGCGCCCCCCCTAGGGGGTGGGCCCCACACTTTGGGAAGGTCTGGGTTAGAGAGACTCAACTCTAATCCCCCACATATACTGGTTAGAGTGGAGACAAAGTGAAGCCTAAGATGGAAATTGGATGTTGTGAAATAACAATTCAGTCAGAAACTGGTCAAACTTTCTTCAACCAGTTGCCTATTTTTCACAGAGAGATACATCAGTAACCATGGCGAGGCCTCCACTTCAAAACACTTAGATGATCCACCCTGCTGGTTTACCAGCTGCCACTTAATCATCACTGAGCACTGCACATCTGGGTTAAAGCTCGTATTATGGGAGAACCTATTATCAATATTATTATTATAATCATGATATTATTCAGTGATCCACGAGTTTACCTGCAGCCCTCTGGGCCAGGTCGTTGTTGGGACAGGTGGCCCTGATGTCAGACACCATGGTGGTATAGGACCTCTCTGGGCAGCGGTCTTTGGTTGGACACCAGGCTGAAGATGGATACAGCCGCAACGCCTCCTTGACGAGACCGTCGCCGAATGACTTAAGTTTAGCTGAGAGGAAAACGACACAGACAGATACAGTCCACACATAATATGTTATCATGTGAAGTGCTTACACAGATTTTCCTGTTTAAACTCAGTTTCAGTCCCTGGCGTCATACGTCAGTGAGCAGGATGCAATCAAACAGAACAGTGGCCCGAACTGAAACTGGATTTGGGCTTAGTGAGGTAAAGCCTAGTTTTCAGTGTCAAGAGCGTGTTCAAAGATGGTCGCTCACAGTGGACATAGATGGCTTCTGATGGCTCTCCACCATTTGACCTTAGAACTGAAGAAGCTTCTTGGATGAGAGGTGAAACGTCTTCAAGTAACTTAAAGAAGTCCAGACACTTTTCTTTGCAAGCTCCTTTGACAGTGTTTGGTACTGTTGTAATAACTGCTGTGTATATTCCACCAGATGCTGATGCTAACTTGGCTCTTGTTCATCTGCATCACATAGTCACAGTATGTATCCTAAGGCTGTTCACATCATAGCAAGGACTTCAGCCACGCCGATTTAATAGCAGTTATTCCTAAGTCCAGACGCTTTTCTTTGCAAGCTCCTTTGACTTGAATGTTAAGCACTTGGCAACAGTAAGGAGGAAGAACTCCCTTTCAACAAGTAGAGACACTAGAAAGCCAGGGTCTGCTTCAAGGCCCAATATCTTACTAATATTTTAGGCAATTTCTTTTAGTCTGTTTGTTCTTGGCCTATCCTGACAACCTTTCATGTGATCATGTGATTCACATCTGTTAGATGTGTTGCTAGGAAACCCAGAGTGTAAGTGTTTGAATGAATGATTCTCATATTTAGGATAAAGGTTCTGTTACCAGTGTTTCCCTGAAGCCCCAGTCACACAGACCTAGAGAGGGGGCGTGGCTAATCACTACGCAAAATTCTTTATTCCATGAGTAGCTGCTGGAGACGGCCAGCAGTTGCGAGGTGAAATGGATTCCTGAGAAGTACATGATGCTCAACATTTCCTTGCACTAGGGTACTCTATGGCAGCGGGCCCCAACCTTTTTTGCGCCACGGACCGGTTTAATGTCCGACAATATTTTCACAGACTGGCCATTAAGGTGCAACAAAATACAACAAAATAAAATGATATGACCGAGACAAAAACTGTGGTATTTTGTAAATATAACAATAAACGCGAATTCACTGTGCAATTGTGTAACTTTATTAGCAGCGTCCTCCTGAAATGCGCCAACAACACTGAGAGTAACATCCTCCTCTCTGCACCTTAATGCTCTCTGGTCGCTATGGTAACGCGTAAATATTTCTTTCAAAATAAGACGCACAGCTTCATCACGGGAAAAGACCCTGAAAACCATAAATTTCACACCCGAGCCTCAACTCTCGCGGCCCGGTACCAAACGACTCACGGACCGGTACCAGGCTGTGGCCCGGGGGTTGGGGACCGCTGCTCTATGGTGCAACCAACACACACAGGCATGTCTATTGGGCCATGTTTGTAAAGATATTGATTCATTAATGATTCAAATATTCTCAATCAAATTCTCAAGCCTCCTGTGAATACATTCAACCATCACTACAAAGCACAAACCCTGATCTTGGTCTAATTCCCTGAAGCCAAGTGGCTACAATCTTACAATGTTACGCAGCCATATTTTGCACAGACACAATCACACACACCCCCGATCGTGGCTCAAGAGTTGGGAGTTCGCCTTGTAATCGGAAGGTTGCCGGTTTGAGCCCCGGCTTGGACAGTCTCGGTCGTTGTGTCCTTGGGCAAGACATTTCATCCGTTGCCTACTGGTGGTGGTCAGAGGGCCTGTCCGGCAGCCTCGCCTCTGTCAGTGCGCCCCAGGGTGGCTGTGGCTACAATGTAGCTGCCATCACCAGTGTGTGAATGTGTGGATGACAGGTTGTGTAAAGCGCTTTGGGGTCCTTAGGGACTAGAAAAGCGCTATACATAAACAGGCCATTTACCATAGCAGTCATTTCTTCCAGCACAGTGGCTCCATGGTTGCTTGCATGCGATGCATTTAGAAGACGTCTACAAAAAAAAAAAACAACCTGGGTTACACCCCCTTTAAAGCCGTTACCTGTTACGAACCACGTGTAGTCCCCCCAGGTCCACTCGGAGATGTTTGTAGATGGAGGACTGTGGAGGAAACACAGCACTGAAGTGGAGACTCATCTCAGCACAAGCTGAATGTGGAGAAACTGAAGCAGGTGAACTCACGCGAAGTCAGCCTCTTGCTCTGTTGTTCCGACAAGGAAAGGGACGTCGCTGTGCTCTCCTTTCTTCTCCCACAGCTCAAAAGGGGGCGCTTTGAGGACGTAGCCGTCCACTACTGCAACCGGGCCGATGGATTTCCCTTTGGTGGGGAGGTCAGTCATCTCATCTGCTGCCCAGGAGGGGTACTCCTGCCATGGGATGGCCTAGGAATACATGCTTATTGTTTTTAGCATAAGATTCAAGAAGAAGGAAACAAACTTATATTCATCTTAATGGTTCTTTTGGACAGGAGAGGAGCGTATGTAAAGACGACCGGTCCACAGTGAGTTTAGGTTTCGCTTTCATAAAACACGACTATTTTTTAATTTGTATTTAACAGAATTACAGGATAAAATAAGATGGAAACTGCTCTTTTTCCAGTCTCCTGAGTGGCATCTTGAATCACTTACTTTGACATTTTAAAAACCTAATAACAGTAACCTGCAGTCTGATGACTGTCACAGTTTTAAAAGTTCAGCTGTCATCATCATTTCATGACATACATTATTCATAATTCCTCCCGGGGTCATCGTCATGTTGAAATGAAGCTCTTCATGTACCTACAGGTTCTCTTCTCATCAGAGGATCCTCAATTTAATGAAGCTCAGTGGTGTTTGAGGGAAATCTGGCTGCAAATTATATTTAGTGTCCCATTTATTCATCAACGGCATAGGAAAATTAGAGATATCCAGGTCTTTTGATACCTGGACGTGACATTATGAGCCATCAAAATGAAAAATGTAATTTTAATTTTGATCAAAATGTCAGAACCGTTTGGAAAGATGAGCTACGAATGAGATATTTCCTGATATCTTTAGACATTAAGGAGAATATTACAGAAATTAACGTTTTTCTGTTATTAGATTTTTTATTACTGTCATAGCTTCGTTGCCTTTCACAGATTTTTTACAGCAAGGCTCTCCAGTTAGGATGGATGGTCTGCCTCCTCCTCCCCCTACCTGCAGGACCTGTCTGATAGAGAGGCGCCTCAGGCAGGCCAGATCTCCGCAGCCCGTCTTATTCAGGAACGCCAGGTTGTCCACCTCGGCTTGTTCCAGGGTCGCATTGTAAATGTACGAGCCGCTCATGTCCACTGCTGCATGAAAGAGACCCTTGGCTAATGGTGACATCATCAGGGTCCACACTGACGTTCCACCTTCAGAAGAGCAAAGTACAAAAATGGGAGCAGCAGCTGGTTGAAGGTGATGGAGTGGTTCTACTGGTTTGCCTTATTATTAAAGACATAGATAACATAGCAAGCACCTGCACGTTCAAACTCTCCCAAAAGATGTGAAGTGTACTCTTATGTTTTTAGGACTTTTAGGAGCAAGTAATTATCTTTCATGTGGTTGTGGAAGAATTTTGGCCCACTCTTCTTTACAGATCGCTTCAGGTCATTTGGTTTGTGGCACTCTGCAGTTCTTATTAGGTTCTGTGATAGCATTTCCATCAGGCTGCACTGCAAAAGGGATTTTGAAATTTCTGGTATGAACATAGTCATAAATTGCTGATTTGTGCATCTGCACCATTCACACACAGATTGGTGCATATACCGTATGTTTCGGACCATAAGGTGGACCGGATTATAACCTAACCTCATATTGTGGATGGATTATCTCAGTTGTTCTCCTCACTGAAGTTTGGTCCGTTTACAGCATCCTAACCATTGGGAACCCTCACGTTAACTCTTATCGAGTCGAAAAAGCTAACGTTCCACCTCCACTGTGTTTATGTTATGCTAACATAGCTGTGTCGCTAGCGATCACGTAGCACATCATTATATACCAGCTAGCCCAACTTCAGTAACCCTACAAACGTCACTGCTGTTTAGTTTTCTGTCTTCATTTATGTTGGAAGTGATAGCAGAGCTGTACGTTTGAATTTCTTCAGAAATCTCTCAGTCAGAACATGCTATATCATGTTTAGGTGGAAGCTAGTGAGCTAACTTCCTGCTAACTTCTAACTCCGTTAAATGTAATAAATTCTGTTTTCATGGATGCCTGGATGTTAAACTTCATAGTTACACCTGGTAAAGCAGCAACGCTGATCATTTTATTAAAGATGAAAGAATTTAGACAGTTTTTAACTCTCAGTGATGCTGCAGTGTTCGTTTGACTTTGGGCCCTGAAGATGATGGAGTTTAGGACCCAGATTACTCCACGAGGCTCCTGACGATGCTCCAACAATCCAACAAGCGCAGTGTTGCCAACTTAGCGACTTTGTTGCTATATTTAGCGAGTTTTCAGACCCCCTTAGCGACTTTTTTTCTAAAACGCGACTAGCGACAAATCTGGTGACTTTTTCTGGCGTTATTAGAGACTTATTTATGACGACTTTTTGACGTGAAAGCGCGTATCGCTTTTACTCTCAATAAGCAGCGGGTGCTGCGGTGGGCACCTCACCCGTGCCAAAGCGCTCACAGGCGGAGGATAGTCCTCCCCCAGCTGCTATCAGGGCTGGGCTCCCGCACTGACTGTAACACAGTCAGTTCTTCTTTTAGTACTACTACTAATAAACACACACACACAAAGTAACTCCCCCAGAGTGCCAATTTCGGGTCACTTTTGCCGGTCCAAGCCCAGGTAAAGGAGCAGGGTTGGAATTGTGACATTAAAAAAACAATAATTGCTAAAAGAAATTTAATTCGTAGTTCTAAATAAATTCTAAATGCATTTAAGACATTTTTTACTGACTTTATGTCTTTTCCACGATGTTATTTCTCTCTCCAACAACGTAGGTTACAATTACATTAGCATGACCAATTATGCAAATTAGGCGATGACGTCATTTAGCAACTTCTAGCAACTTTTAGGACAACCAATACCGCTTTTCCTTCCTGAGGAGTTGGCAACACTGATCAAGCGGTGCGGCTTCGTAGCTTACCAAAGTCGCACTAAAACATTTTTGACAGATTTTTGAGCGCCGTGTAGCACATAAAATCAGTTCGAGGTCAGTAAGCACAACCAGAATTCATACATAAGGCGAGAAATTGAGAAAATTAAAGGACTTTAAGTGCGCCTTATAATGCGGAAAATACGTTACCGTAGTTAGTAAATTGTTCTAGAGCTCTTGTTCAGTGGTTTGCTGCCGTTTTCCCTTCTAAAAAGGCCATTTTGTTCAATATTTTTCTAATTCTTCTGTCACAAACTTCGTGAAGCCGACTGAGTCTGAAGTGTAGCTCTTTGGTGTTCTACAGTTTCTCTGAGCTTTGGCAGATGGTTTGACCCAGGGACAAATTTGCTGGGGTGCTAAGACTCCGCCTGAATACTCCAAACCAGTAAACTGCCACTGCTTCTGTTTTTATAGATACTTTAGCAATGATCATTTCATTAGCATCACCTAGCTGCCAGTTAGCCTCTTCAATCAAATTTAAGCAGTGACCACTGCAGACGGTTTGATTATCTCCCTGTTTAAATGATATGGTCATAAAGTATACAAAGTAGTAGCAATACTGCCATTAATACAATATAATACTGTGGAAAACGCTGACACTGTGTTGCTAGCGATCACGTAGCACATCCTCTTTTTATCAGTTTTTTGTTTTTACTTCAAATGACAGTTTTCTTTATGTCAGTACTGCGTTCATTCGCAGTACAATACTGACCAAAATACTAGCAGCACATCTGTGATGGCTTAACATGATTTGTCTTTTAAATAACTGTTATACGACTCTGGCAGTGTCTTTAATGCTTCTGTAGATTTGATCAAATCGCTGTAACTGCTTTGGGCATTCACTATAAATAACTTTAATGTGCACGTTCCCTACTAGCAAGTGAGTCACTGCTGTAACTTCAAAACATAAGTGAGTGTTATATTTTATAATCACAACACCACATCTATGTCCCTGTTAATATATTGTATCTCTTCTTTTAATTAGATCGAATCTTTTCTAGGACACAGACATAAAACATTCAATCCTTGAGGGTAAGTTTGAGACTGCATGTGTCACAGCATGTCCCGATGACACTTTTAATGATTTTTTTTTAATACTATTTATACCTGAGCTCTGTCCAAATATGGTAACTTTGCCAGGATCTCCTCCAAACACACGGATGTTCTTCTGAACCCACTTCAGAGCTGCGATCTGATCCAGGAAGCCATAATTCCCTGCAGAGGAGGGAAGGGGAGAGTTGAGAAGAGATCGATTAGTCAGGTTTTGATGCAGACTTTTTTCTGATGTCCTATTTTCTCAATCAGAAACCAGCTTTCTGTGGTGTTCTGGCAGCATGAACTAAATTTAACTCATCTCAAGCTGAGGGAGCGAGGAAATGGGGCAGGGGACGATTACAACTATTAAAAATGAGCAGCGATAGTGAAGAGGACAGAGAGGAGGCTCTGGAATGCCGAAAAGGAGTCGTGTGCCCCGCCATCACACCATCGTGTCACGCAAGGCTCTGTCACATCAAGGTCACAGTGGGCTTATTCGGGTTGCGTAACAGAAATGACCCACTTGACTCACAGCGCAAAAATGCAAACAAGCAGGAGGAAGCCTCGGAAAGAGCTCCATTTATAAAGATCGCATTAACATTCATTAAGTATACACATCTTAATGGAAGGCTATGGACTTCTCAGCATTCCCTCTAACTGGGAGCACAATGTAAACACCATAAATATTAAAAGCGTCGGTTTAAGTGGTAAATGGCTTGTAAGAAAATACACTACAGCCATTAGAACTTCTCTAACTCCACACGACGCACTGCAGCGACCTAACAGAAGCCGTTAAAAGCTCCCTGCAAGTGTCACTACTTCTGAAACTCCACGACGCTAATTAGGGTCTTTAACTGAGCATGTAAAAAGGTTTGTTTGTTCAAACTCGGCTGCATTTTATTCCACTTTATTTGTTTAGTAAATGGCTCACGGTTCACCTCTGAGGGAACCAAACAATAATGAGAACGGGCCTGAAGACGGAGCTCAAGCTGTGTCTCGGTTCCACATCGCATGCCAGCTGCGTACGCTAACCGTGCGGTCGATGGTGACGTGGGAAAGGCTTTGTGGTTTAGAGGCTGTTAGCCAGACTGTGTGAGCGATGGAGTGGTTTTAAAACCTCATTAGTAAGCACAGACAGCAGAGTGAATGAGGTGAAAGTACCACTCTGACCAAGTGGACAGACTTGTCATGTGTTGCTGTTGGTAAACTCACACTCTCCGTCTCTTTGTGTTCTCATCAGTCTGCTGTCACAAAAGCACCGAAATGACCCGATCAGACAGATATCTGATTACATATGTTGATTCGTATAATCTATCACGCATCATCAGTGTTGGGGAGTAACGGAATACATGTACCGCCGTTACGTATTTAAAATACAAAATATGAGTAACTGTATTCCGTTACAGTTACCGTTTAAAAAGGTGGTATTTAGAATACAGTTACTTTGTTGAAATAAATGGATTACACGGCGGTACTTCCCTGTTTCATATTGTGGCGGGTCAGGGCTGTTTGGGTTTTGTTTGACAGCTACGTTCTGTTGTTCCAGGTGGCAGCGTTACGGTTGCCATGGTTACAGGATGATGCTCTCTCTCTGCATGTTTCCTGGGTGAGAGAGGCCTTTTTGTTGTTGTTGTGCTAAGCTAACAGGCAGAATGCTACAGGTATAGCTCTAAAGAATGTAGCATCATAGGCAGTGTAGTCCGTGCTGCTGGGAGAATGGACTGCCATACACGTTATGTGTCTGTGAGCGAGGGAGGGAGAAAAAGGAAAAGTACGAGCTGTCATCGAGCAGAAACGGGAGCTGGAAGCATGTAAATATAATAATAACCACTGCAGCCAAGAAGAGTGCCTGACGAGCCCAGTTGTAAGTAAGCTATTAAGACTCGACTGTACACCGTGTTCGTGTTTTCCTCCAAAAACAATAAGTTCTGTTGGAGCAGCCTTTCAACGCCTCTCTCTGTCTCTGCTAGCAAAGTTGACCCAGACAACAAAGTAAAGCTAGTTTTCGGCTACGAGCCGACACAGAACCCACCGTATTAGCCAGAGGTCCCTTTACTACGGTTCGGAGCCGCGGACCTTCAGTAACAGTAATAAATCACAGCAATAGTACATTCATGTAGTTGTAAACAGCATGATAATATATTAAGTAATCCAAAGTATTCAGAATACGTTACTCTCATTGAGTAACGTAAGCGTGTAATCTGTAATCTGTAATCTGTAATGGAATACATTTTAAAAGTAACCTTCCCAACACTGGGCATCATATTTCAGTGTTACCTCAAAATTCTAATATTCAGATCTTTGTTACGTGTTATAAATACCCAACGTTTGGTCATCTCACTGCAGGCTTCTCAATTCAGTTTTATTTATATAGCGCCGAATCACAACAGTTGCTTCAAGCGACTTTGTGAGGCAAAGATAGCACAATGATTCCATTTTTAGCTTATAGTTTCAGATTATATTTAAAGTCGATGAATAATTATCAGCTACACCTTTATATTCTACTCTTGGTCTCCTTAAGTTACTTTGACAGGTCAAATAATTTTTACTCATCTTAAACTGGAGATTTGTGCATTTTGAAAATACTGGAATAAGCTCGTATTTCCAGACTTTTCCTTAAATGGGCTCATTTATCAAATATGGAGTTTTGGGCTGTGAAAAGAAAACATGACCACTTATACCTAGAACTGCAGAGGATGTTGTTTTTACCCCACAGAAATTATTGCAAAACCATTACTATGGCAAGCTGGGTTGCCTAGCAACACGCCCGTTTACACAACAACACAAGGCTGCTGTAACATGGGTTGCAGCTAGCAACAGCTGATTGATAAATGAATTTAAAGCAGCGTAGTTAGGTAAAATCTGAATAATTAATGCCGGGCTGAGGCAGTGTGTGACCAAGCGTGTGGAAAACCAAGCAAGTTGCTGTCTGTGCAGAGCAGCAGGGGAACGTAGCTAAACTGAGCAGGGAGCCCAGACTGTGGAGAACTGATATGATGCTTAAAAACGAAGTGAAATCCACAGCCCGGTACCCAAGGTTTCAGGACTGTGGACAAGATAATGAACTTGGACTGATCTACTATTACAATATGTTTTTAAATGCATTTCTATGATTTTGTATTGAGCTGCAAGGTCGAGTTTAAAATTTAGGCAAAAGCTGTTCAGTCTATTTCACAGCGGTCTGTTTTTATACCGTCTATATTTCAGTGCAAATAATGCCAAACATGTTTTCAGAAGTGTTAGCTGTTGTGTTATCACTTTATTCTAATGTCACTGTACTGGGCTGCGACCCAGTACTTGTATTTCTGACTTTATAATTTGATATATTGTTCATAGTTTTGGTTTCCTTTAGTTCTTAGCAAGGTTATTATCGTTAACGAAAACTAACGAAATAACGAAAACTAGAAGTGAAAAAACATTTTCGTTAACGGAAATAAAAATAAAAACAAAAA